TGGCATATGTGGCCTGGGCTGGGAACGGGTACTCGAACACCATTCCTGGGTTGCACGACACACTCGAACGAGCTCGGCCTCTGAAACAATCAATTATTTAGGTGGTATTGGCTCCAACCGCTTTCCCCGTTATAAACTTTGAAATTTCGAGTTCGAAATTTCGAGTGAAAGACACCGATAGAAATTTGACTGAGATGAATAAAAATTTTAAAAATGCAACAAAATAATGAAATAGATGGGGAAGTGAAAAGCAAATAGTGAATGAAAAAAATATATATATATAAATAGATTCAATTAGATTGTTAAATAATTTGGGTGTGAGTGATCCCTGTACCTCACATCCAAGGACTATGAGGTGTTTCCAAATTGTACTTCAAATTGAGCTCAGATGCACATCAATATTCAATCTATGTAGATATATTAAGACAATCCAAAACCTCCAAGTAAAATAGGAATAAATATAATATTTTGATAGTAGTAGTTTTTTAGGGAGACTAAATTGATGTTTCTGTCCATGTGTTAGCCCATTATAATATTATTTTGTCATTTAGTTGGAGAAAGAGTACAAGTTGCTAATGAAAGTTTGGAGCCATGATAGACGAATGACACTATCAATGTTATATCGAAACAAACGCATAACAGAATATGTGCCCCTTAAAATCAACCAACAACTGTAAGAACTACGGATCTTTATTAACAGTTTAACCAAATTTATCTATTCGATAAACTGTCAATTTTCTATCAGTGCATAAGTATAGTTAGTTATGTCATTTAGTTGGAGAAAGAGTACAAGTTGCTAATGAAAGTTTGGAGCCATGATAGACGAATGACACTATCAATGTTATATCGAAACAAACGCATAACAGAATATGTGCCCCTTAAAATCAACCAACAACTGTAAGAACTACGGATCTTTATTAACAGTTTAACCAGATTTAACTACTCGATAAACCGTCAATTTTCTATCGGTACATAAGTATCATTAGTTTGCTTATAATTTTAATTAACCACGAATTCAACAGCAAAAATTACGCGAATAAAAATCACGAATCAACAGATTTATATATCAATATTTTTAATGAAAACCAGATGACTTTAATTAACATTTTCTTTGCTTGTAAATTATATCAGAGTACTATGTAGTAGTAAAACTAATCGTTTCTAATTAATTAAACCAGTTTGCGCGCTTTCATTACTTTCCTTCGTTTTATTTATTCGACACAAATTCAATTCAAGTACTGCAGCTTCCTATTCGCATTAATTACATGCATATAAGATTGACTTAATCTTCTTCCTTAAAATTTCAAAGAATATTAAAACAACTAGTAATATTAAATTCCAAAATTACAATTAATAATTAATGTAATCATACCGTCGCTTTGAGCGCCTTTTGATAACGACGATTACTTAATCTTCCTTAAAATTTCGAAGAATAATAAAAAAATTAAGGAATATATAATTCCAAAATTACAATTAGTAATTATTGCACTCATACGGGCGCTCTGGGCGTCCATTGTTAACGATGATGACTTAATCTTCTTCCTTAAATTTCAAATAACAATAAAAAAATTAGGAATATATAATTCCATAATTACAGTTAATAAATATAATGATCATACTGTCGCCTTGAGCGTCCGTTGATAACGACGATGACTTTATCTTCTTCCTTAAAATTTCGAAGAACAACAAAAAAAATTAGGAATATATAATTAAAAATTACAATTAATAAATATAATGATCATACTGTCGTCTTGAACGTCCGTTGATAACGACGATAGTAGTAGTAGGTAGTAGAATGGTTTACTAGCGCTTCAACTATCAAGCTATTAATGTAACTTGTATTAATGTATGTACTTGTATTAATGTTCTTGTAATAATGTAAGCTATTAATGTGTGCTTGAAGCACTCAACAAATTTTCAAAGAACAATAGAAATTTATGAATATTTAATTCCACAACTACAATCAATTGCACATACTGTCGCCTAGAGCGTCCGTTGATAACGACGATGACTTGGGTAATCTTCTTCCTTAAAATTGCGAAGAACAATAAAAGAATTTAGCAATAAAAATTCCAAAATTCTAATTAATAATTATAATGATCATACTGTCGTCTTGAGCGCCCGTTGATAACGACGATGTCGGAGCACACGCTCGTTCTCTCGACGCAGACGTTGTTGCCGTGGCACACGCCGTTGCAGCCGCCCACGCAGTTCGGCAGGCATGACAGAGTGCCGCCTAACTCGCTAACTTTCTGAAGAATATCGAATACTAGTATTTACATCAGTAAGATTTTGAATGATTGTTAATTGTGGCTTTATTAAATATATGAGGTGTCTAGAAAACGTATACAACTCATTTCTAATACAAATTAGGCTCTTCAAGACTTTCAATCACATGTAAGCGATGAAATTAAGTCAAGCAAATATTAATATTATATATTTTATATTATATACAATTATATTAATTATTAAGAAATGAACCAAAGAGTGTATAAATTATCATTCGCTGGAAAATACAGTTAATGGCTCTGAGTCGATTTCCAAGATCAAGGGTTAACTGACATTCACCTCATCACTCTATGTTTCTTCTAAAAAAGTTCACTTACTTTGACTTTTTCCATGACCCAGACGCCACCGGCGCAATAGATCGGCGCTTTGAAGACATCCTCCCTTATCTTGAAGCCAGTTTCACAGACCAACCATTGTAGCTTCGGGTTACTAGGGCTTTAAAAATACAAACACATAAATAACTACGAACAATATGCTACATTTTTCGAAAATGAAAATCAAATACGTATTTTCGCAGCTGAACAAATCAACAATAAAAGACATCTGCACTTGGATTTGAAAGCCGAAATCAATGAAAATCTCTCTTACTCTTTCTGGAGGGTTGCTTTCGTCAGAGTATAGTCGTTGATGTTTTCCGTACATTTATCGTTCACATTAAGATCACATGCCGCTCCCATCCAATTTCTCGTGCATTCGCAGGAAAAAGGGCTGACGCACTTGCCGCCATTCTGGCACGCTTCTACACAAACTGGTTCGCATCGAAAGTCAATTTTGGTCTTGAGTTCCGTAGCGCTTGGTACGTAATTGCCATTTGTACACTGGATGGTCAAGCCTGAAGAAAATAAATGGAATGGAAATAATATCATGGGCAGAAAATGAATCAAGTTCTCAATGAAACAAACGACTCCAGAGACGCGAAAATGCATTTTACTCATGAAAACAATTCGGCCCAAGCGATGGATGTGATGAGAGTACTTCACGATAGCATTAATTTAGCAAGGCTATTGGAAAAAAGTGCTGCATTTCAAATTGTTTTACCAGGACCTATAATTGATTATCAAGTTTATGGAACTATCGAGATTCAATTTATGAAACCTCAACAACTTGAATAACGATTGCTAAAACTTTGAATTCGTGGATTCCAAAAACTCTAGCTACTGCCTTGCAAAAAAATATATATAGTGCTCGAACGAAGAGGAAAAATGATAGGATTGAATGAACTAAGGACAAAGCTAATTAGCCCAAAGGCAAAATTTATTTGCTAGATTTGCCAAAGTGATTAATAAAAGACTGACATTTTTTCTGGTGTAGCGAAAATTTCGAAGATTTAATTGAGACCTTGAGACTTACGTATACTTTGTGGTATGATAATAACAGCATTATATATGAGTAAAGCAACCTTCATGGCAGCATGAATGAGTACCACAGCCTTCATGGCAGCATGAATATGAGTAACGCAGCCTTCATGGCAGCATGAATATGAGTACCTGTCTCTTATACACATCTAGATGTGTATAAGAGACAGGAGTACAGCTGCCTTCATGGCAGCATGAATATGAGTACAGCAGCCTTCATGGCAGCATGAATATGAGTAACGCAGCCTTCATGGCAGCATGAATATGAGTACAGCTGCCTTCATGGCCTGTCTCTTATACACATCTAGATGTGTATAAGAGACAGCTTCATGACAGCATGAATATGAGTACAGCAGCCTTCATGGCAGCATGAATATGAGTCTGTCTCTTATACACATCTAGATGTGTATAAGAGACAGGAGTACCACAGACTTCATGGCAGCATGAATATGAGTACAGCAGCCTTCATGGCAGCATGAATATGAGTACAGCAGCCTTCATGGCAGCATGAATATGAGTACAGCCTGTCTCTTATACACATCTAGATGTGTATAAGAGACAGGCATGAATATGAGTAACGCAGCCTTCATGGCAGCATGAATATGAGTAACGCAGCCTTCATGGCAGCATGAATATGAGCTGTCTCTTATACACATCTAGATGTGTATAAGAGACAGCTTCATGGCAGCATGAATATGAGTACAGCAGCCTTCATGGCAGCATGAATATGAGTACAGCAGCCTTCATGGCAGCATGAATATGAGTACAGCAGCCTTCATGGCAGCATGAATATGAGTGCAGCAGCCTTCATGGCAGCATGAATATGAGTACAGCAGCCTTCATGGCCTGTCTCTTATACACATCTAGATGTGTATAAGAGACAGCTTCATGGCAGCATGAATATGAGTAACGCAGCCTTCATGGCAGCATGAATATGAGTACCACAGCCTTCATGACCTGTCTCTTATACACATCTAGATGTGTATAAGAGACAGCTTCATGGCAGCATGAATATGAGTACAGCAGCCTTCATGGCAGCATGAATATGAGTAACGCTGCCTTCATGGCAGCATGAATATGACTATATGAGTAACTCAGCATTCAAGACTTAATTACCAGGAACATCCGAGCTGAAGTTTGTTTTGACTGAAGAGATTATGGATGTCTTGTAACTGCTAACATCGTACACGGCGGTGTAGTTCATGTCACAGTAAAGCTGTAGTTGTTCGCCGCCTCTGAAATAAGTAATTTTATGTCATTTTCTGTTTTTCAATATAGAAATTCAACTTCTCAAACCGGGATCCATCTTAATTTCGAAATAACAAGTGAGCTAAGACCAGAATATTTGCGTGTCCGCACGTAATAAATGCCTGTAATCAGTGTTGGCTATACAAATTTTAAGAAAGGAATGAATGGAAAATTCATTGTATAACCTAAGAAAGTGGGTCAACATGATGCACCTTTACTTTGACCGCAGGTACTAACACAAAGTTAAGTTATTTTGAGTCTCAAACTTTGTTAACATAAAGTTTATCCAAATCTCAGAATCTCATTATACACGGGAAGAACATGAAAAGGTAGAAATAACTTTCTGATAAGAATAGTTTCGTTCACTTTGTCAACCTGAGCCCGAGAAGAGAATTTTGAAATTTGGCTCTTCCAAATATGCTACCAAACTGAACCATTAAAAGCGTTTCTAAAATAAAGCGTTCTCATGAACACATCGAAAGGTCAAATTTAACTAAAGACTCCAATTAAATCGCTATTAAAATATTTTAATACTGGTATTATTATATTATTAAATAAGTCATGTCTTAAAATATTAAGACATGACAGAGAGTGTCAGTTAAGACATGACTTGAGTGGGACGTAGAGTGGAGCACTCACTTGAGTGGGACATAGAGTGGTGCACTCACTTGAGTGGGACGTAGAGTGGTTACACTCACTTGAGTGGGACGTAGAGTGGTGCACTCACTTGAGTGGGACGTAGAGTGGTTACACTCACTTGAGTGGGACGTAGAGTGGTGCACTCACTTGAGTGGGACGTAGACGGCGTTGGGGATGACAAGAATCTCGTTTCCGATTTTATAGTCGCCTGAGAGTATGACAAGGGTTGGCAGAGCCGAGTCATGCCGAACTAGCAAGCTGCCCAGAGGCTGCCCTTCGAACTTTGTGCCGAAGCGGACATAGAACCGCTGATTTGTGCGCTCCCCGAGTCCTAGGCGGCCCAAATGTAAGAACCCACACTCCTCTAAATTTTGTTAGGGTGTACGAGTAAGTACGAATAATCAGCACGGTCCTTATGTAAAATCACAGTGAATAGCCATTAAAAGATTAAAAATAATATACGTTTAAAAATTACTTTTTAAAGACAACACTTCCAAAGAACCCAGTATCTCCAATCTTACAGATGTACAATGAATTTCTCATCTAATTTTCGAAAATTAAAAAAATTTACTTCTCAATTTTTTATTATACATAAATTTTTTTCAAAATTATTTATTCTGTTAATTGATTCATGCATTGCCTCTGATTTCACACAAGTGTGCAAAATTTCAGATCAATTAGACAGGTAAAAG